TCGCAGGTGTGATGTGCTCTCTCTTTCGAGTACGAGTAACTAGCCGTGCTGCAGTGTTCTGAACCCTCTGCAGACGACTAGTTAGTTTGTCAGATATACCACAGAGCAGGGCGTTACCATAATCCAACCGAGAGGTAACAAGTGAATGCACCAAAATCTTACATGCATCTGCAGTTAGAAACTGCCGAATACAGCCGATGTTCCTGATCTGGTAGTAACAGGATTTGGCAATAGCGTTTACTTGTTTCTCCACTTGTTTCACCATGTGTGTCAGCTCCATGCGGCAATCATTACTTCTACCCCCTTGCTGTCGATCTTATCAACCGTTTCCTGGCGGAGTGGGTATTGTTCTCATGTTACTCTACTCTTCCTAATGTTTAAACATATCTACGGCAACATTGCGAACGGCGTTGGCATCGCATTTGAATAAGTTGGGGTCTTATGTAATGACGCTGTTGTCTCGACCCTACCTGTCGCTTCCGCGTTTTGACTGTTCTCTGACATAGTGGGCACCTATGGTAGTCACTAACGTCACCTTTGAAAAAGGATTCCAGAAATGGAAAATATGTATGTATTTATACCCGGTTGCGACATAACATACGCAGTTCAATTCTGGTACGGCCCACTGTGTCATCGATTTATCGATTATAATTTCGAATTATGTTTTTTCTGAAATTTGTTATTGTTTTTTCTCTACCTTCGGTTTAAATCGATGGATTGATTTGTTATGCAATTAGTGTGTACTTATATGAAGTTTGTTTTTGCATGGTGTTTAAAAATCTTAACCCCCTCTCCCCCCTCCACCACCCCCCAAACCCCTAAGTGTCCTAGATTCTTGAATTTTACAATTTTTGAAGAGCGTACTACAATGTTCTGTGATAACGCCTTAATGTTCAAATATTACCTGCTTGACAGTAACAGTAGTGAATAGATTACCAAATTGCACTGATTGTAAAGTTATAGGGCCAAAACGCAATTTTCTTTTATCCGCTACAATATTTACATGTCGTCTTTATTGTCTCACGTATCTCAACTTATTCTTATTTTATACCTTCTGAAAATCTATATTCCTTTTCAAAACATACTCATGTTCAAAGTACGGTATCAAAGTTATAAAATTATATAAAATAATACTTCTCTGTTTCCATATCGTCTTCGGTGAAACTATCTTCGCCTGATTCTTCCATGTTGTTCCTAAAATCTGGATTAAATGCTACTGAACTGGTAGACCCGTATTTGATAACTCCATCGCTGTGAATGGAAACTAAAGCAATCAAGCTTACATTTGTTTACTCTCTCATTATAATATACAAACTGTATATAGCGCTCTATATACAATTACTGTAAAGCGCTTCATAGCATATGAATAATAGTCTAAGTTATATTATATAAAAGATAAAAGGCATTCAAATTACCATTTTGCATGAGTAAAAAGACATTTATCTCAATTTGCATATGAGTGAATATAATGAAGTGTGGTGTGGAGAAATCTATGTAAATAACCTAAAATGACATAAAGAGGTAGGTGTAAATATCCTTCTTGTATTCAGCCAGGTTGTTTTACTTCATGTAACATGAATTAATGATTTGGAATCAAAATTGTGTTACTCGATAGTTCTTTCTTGCGTTAGTGACATTAGCATTCGTTTTCTAATGTAAAATAATACCGCATCGATAACACACTTAAATATAATCGATTATTAAAATCGTAAAAATAATGTCTTTACATTTGGCATATTGATAAGTATTTCATGTTAGGATGAACGAGCATGGTGAAGTTATATAAACGCGAGAACGCCAACTCTCATAGAGAACTGCGTGTAAAGACTTACTTTTCGTCAGATTCCGTCAGCTCTTCTTCTGTGATGTTATCCTCGTCCGATGTATCCTGGTTGCTCCCTTTATAGTCAGCATTTAGTATCACTTGTGTTGAGGACCTAATTGTAAATGTCATTTATTTAAGTGTTCGTCACATATCAAAATGAAAATAATATATAAATTGAACCGCAGAAAAATTAACAGCTACTTATTGTCAAGTGCTGAAGACAGTATTCGTATGACGAGCGTTAGGAAGCAGTACCTGTTGAGTTTAATATCCTCTGCTTCCGTTAAAACCTCCATTTGACTGATCATCTTAAATACTGAAAGAAAAACATAAATTTATCAATAAAACAAAAATCATCAATTATCAATATTCATGAATTTGTATAGAACGATGAAACAATACATTGAACCACATTTACAGAGATAAACGGTTACCTTAAACACACACTCATGATTGTAATACGTGTTAATATTGAAGATATTGAGAGAGAGAAAGTAACTTTCAACTTATACAAACTGTTATAAGGAGTTTAACGTCTGTAAAATGAATTTTAAAATCAGCACGTGATACATTTTAGCTATAGAGCCACTTTTGAGACGTGATCTACTTTTTCATTACCTGGTGTTGTATTTCTTCATGTCCGTGAACCCAGCATAATACAATGTGACATTTTGAGGTTATGCTTTTCTATACGTAAATGGCTATGCTTACCTTCATATCAGCAGGGGATCTGTAATTTGATACTTGTGTAGACTTGAGGGAACAATGCGATGGTATGTTGGTCAGCTTAAATTGGCGAAAAAATGATCTAAGGGTCTGGTCATAAATGTGGTATAGGAATTATGCATATGAAGGCGCTTTTCATTGGCGCCCGATAGATTATGAATGTGTAGTGTAATGGTGTCGTCTTCATGTCGTTATCTACTTGAACAAAAATACTCTGAATGGCATTCACATTTCGTCGTTTTTAACTCAATAGTCAAATTAAGTCGTTAGAAATGAACAACGGTCAGACTAGAAAAGGGGTAATAATACTGTCAATTGCAGTCGAGCCCGACACATTGTTGTTGTTATAACCATCATTGTAGATATTATCCATAACGTAATACAACGACATTTTTTACTCCTGAAGGGTCCAAAGTATCGAGATACTCGGCTACAACAAGTAGAATTTGAGTTCTATGAAAACGAACTATGGAGTTTTATACCCCAACTTTTTCGAAGTCAGGTGTGTAAAATATTCGCTTTTTCAGTGCGTGTCTCCTTCCGTACGTGCTGATTGTGGTTTCCGGAGCATATTTATCCTGCTGTTTCATGAGTGGACATCACACTTTGTATAGGTTCTACAACGAGGTCAATGTGATCTTTGACTTTGACCCCAAGTACTCCAAAAATGTTTTTTTGAAACACAGCTTAGCGACTGCTTTATGAATTGGCATCAAACTTTGGTTATAATTAAGCTCTGTATATAGGTTTTCAGAGCATTATTCAACAACTACTTCATGAAAAGGCATCAAACGTTGTATATCGGTACATTATTACCTTACATGGAAAGCCACGTGTTGTATATCGGTACATTATTACCTTACATGGAAAGCCACGTGTTGTATAATGTATCCTAATTGTGAACTCAACTTAACCTCTGACCTAGACCGCAAGAACACAAATATTTGTTTCTCATTTGCTGTTTTCATGAATAGGCATCAAACGCTGTAGATAACTAAATGAAGTATTATTCATTTTTTCTACACAATATATTTGCCATTAAAGAATGAATTTACTCCAATCTTTGTAGATATGTGGGGAACGGTGGTATCCATGGAACCCAAGCTTCAAGTTAAATTTGTTTTCCTTACATAATGACAAGTGTCTGAGTAAGTTAACAATCTTCAATAAGTAACAAATCGACAGCAATGCGAAAATCCGTCTGGAAATAGTTAGGCAGCTTTGATTGTTGTTTAAAATTTAAATGTATAGAATATATTATTCAAATTAATTTCCATAAATACCTACACGTAATAGATATGCTTTAAAAAAGAATCCACTGATATGTTTACTATTTTAAGTAATCACATAGGTGACAGCCCTGATAGATATAAACAGAGACCCCAGTGTTTCTAAAACCAATCTCGATAACGACTGCTTAAGAAAAGCGTGTGTATATGATATCAAAGTTTTACGTTATACAAAAGCAACGTATATGCACATATTGAACGTTTCGAAACGTTTTAAGACTGACTGGTCCCTTTGTCAAGCTATGACTGAGTGAGCGATTTGTATTTTTCACCTTTACAACGATTTGACGACATTGTGTAGTTGTTTATGTCACACGACCCGGGAATGTTTCGCCTATCGATAGAGAGCATATACACACTGCATCGATTAGATTGCAGGATGCAGTGTGTATACGCTCTTTATCGATACGCGAAACGTCTCGGGTCGAGTGACATAACAAATAGTTATTATTTTTCAGGTTTTAGGCTTTTTGCTAATTCTTTTTTAGTAATTGGACCTTCTTAACTTACTGATTCAAGGGGGGCTAACTTTGGCACAACATATAATCTTAAGAGTAAATTGAGATCAACATCCAGAAGTAACTGATTTTTCTTGTAAAAGGTTTAAAAGAAGCTTTTAGTTTCTTTTAAAATTTCTGTCTGATCTACAATTACAGCCCCATCTTCTTTAGTTATATTAGAAATTATCTTACTAGTACAGTTACGTGATTCTAACACACATAAGTATTTTGTTGGTTTTTCACCTTCACTTATCCACTTGGCCCTTGACCGTATCATATTACCTTCTATTTTATGTTTTCAAATTTCTTCTAATTCTTTTTTCCTTTTATCTATGTTATTTAAGTATGTATCATAAGAACTGTTTCTAAGTTTTTAATATGATTTATACGATCCTTTTCCTTTTCATAAGATTGTTTTTTCTCACATAGCTAGAGTATGAAATGGTTTTAACCCTTATTTCCACCATGCGAGTGTCAAATAATAATTGATAATTTACAGGAAAGATGATTTTATTTAAAGTAATTGCATTTAAATTATTTATGTTGTATACTGGTAAAGAGTACTGTTGTAAGAAGAGGACTCCTAATCCCTAATCCTAGGGCAATTACAAAATTAAGAGAAAACACAAATTTGTATTTTTTACAACAATGTCTGAAGCACACTAAACGATCTTCATGATAAGTATGTATTTGCATCACCAGACAGCATCTTTTACATGTTACTCGATCCTTGTCTGCAAATGACTTTTCTGCACTAATTGCAAAATATTAGGCTTGCTGGATAACCAAGGAAACCCAACGAAATATGATAGTTTCCCAAAATACAGAGTAGTAAGGTTATGGATATGCCTTTTTTCTGTCCTTAACAAAAGTGCAAAGGGGCCTGCATCGCTCACCTGGTACCAATTTCACACTGGTTACCTTAAAAGTTGATTTAAATAAAGTACGGGCAAACTATCAGTATTAATAGATAATAGTACTAAAAGACATTCGACAATAAAAAAGATTTTGACACATTTGACCCCTGTGACGTTGAAAGTCGAAGAAAGTCATTACATTGAACAAACTCCATAGGCCTTTACCTCAGCATGCATCTTGCCAAATATCACCACTCAAGACGTTCGTTTACTGAGATTAGGCAAGTTAAAGGTTTATATACATGTTACCAAAGGTGACGTTGAAAGAAGTTGTACTTGATCCAAATGACAACATACTAACTATACTTTTTCTCCTTTTTCAATCGGAATATATCGTTTTATTACACGTTTTGACAGTTATAATCATGCAGAAAAAAAGATGAAATAAAACTAATACAATGTACAATATAAGTGGTTACAATTTTCGTTCCCTTTTGATCTCAATCTTCGCCTCAACGGGATAATGTTTCTTTTATTGGTAAGTCATCATCTGCATCATTGAAAAACGATAGGTTTCTTTGACTTGATCTGTTTTAAATGATCTTTGTTTACCTTAATCAGAACATGGTATTAGCAAGAAGACATTAATAAATCCACAGCAATTACCCCTCTGTAATGTATAATGCCCCACACTGAGGTGTTTTGTGAGGTACACATGTTGGTATTCGTACTTCTGTCCAATTAAGTGTCCTACATAACCATTATTATACACATTCCCTGTCATTTAAAGAGGATCATATAACGTGTTATTTTTAAATGTAAAGTCATCACAGTCCCACAGGAAATAACCAGTCTTTAAAGACCAATCCTGTTTTAGCTCCCCTGTCCGCACGTCTGTCGTCTGTCCGTCAACTATACCTTAAATAGCTCATAGTCCTGATTTGGCCGGAGCATCCTTGGGCAAAGGGGATTCAATTTGGTATAAACGGAGGGTGTGGCAACTTTGAGTGCAGAGGGGCGGGTGCCAATGGGGGAATTTCAGGTTTAAATTTCCCAAAACTTTCTTCTTTTGTACCATGCGAGGAATTTTATCCTAATTAAGCCTCTTTGAGCAAAGAGTAACAATGTTTGTATAAACGGAGAGTGTGGCCCCTCTTGGTGCAGAGGGGTGGGCCCAATATGGGAATTTGAGGTTTACACTTTTTAAATTCTTCTTGTTTTGTACCATTGGAGAGATTTTATCCAAATTTGGCCTTGAGCATTCTTGGGCAAAGGGTACTAAATTTTGTATGAACGGAGGGTGCGGCCCCTCTTGGTGCAAAGGGGCAGGGGCCTATAGGAAAGATAGGTAAATCTTTAAAATCGTTCACCTTCAGTTTGATTGGCGGAATTTTATGAGAACATCCTTGGGTGACGGGGTCACAATTTTGTACAAAAGGAGGGTGTGGTCCGCCTTGGCAAAGAAGGACGGGGCCGAATAGGGAAATTTAAGGTAAATCTTTAAATATCCTTCTCCTTTTGTACCAATGAAAGGATTTTAACTGAGTTTGGTATAGAGCATCCTTTGGCAAAGGACAACACATTTTGTATAAACGAAGGGTGTGGCTATAGAGGGGGGAGGATAGGGGTAATTGAGGTAAATCTTATTTTAACCTAAATTTGCTCCAGAGCATCATTTGGCAGAGGGACTCAGTTTCTTTTGACAGAGACAGTAGTCCCACTCGCAGCAAAGGGGGAAGGGTTCAGTAGAAGGAACATAGAAATAAAGATTTAAAATCCTTTTCCTTCAGGGGGCAGAGGGGCGTGGCCCAAAAAGGGAAAACGTTAACAATCCAATTCGTGGGGGCAGAAATAAGGGACATCATAAGGGACAGGTGTTGCTGAGAGACAGAGCTGATGTTTGGAAATAATTGTAGTTTTTTATGTAATAAGAACAATTTGTGATGGTTCCTTTTTTATTCAGGTGAGCGATACAGGCCCTCTAGACATTCGTTTGGTGTACATGAAATTCTACCATACCATTTTATTTGTAACACCTCCGCTTTTGTTGATTGTTGCTTCTCAAATCAATGGTAATAATCTTAGTCTACATAGGAATAGAAATATATTCCAACATAGATTCGTCACATGAACATTCCGGGCACCTTCATTAAAACACCTCTGCAATTCAAGTATCTGTTACTACCAGATCTGTAACATTGGCTGTATTCGGCAGTTTATAAAAGAGAGCACATCACACCTATGCAATATTCATTGCACTGGCTATCTGTACGAAACAGGTCGCAGTACAACATTTTGTTGTACAAAGACAATCGCTAAGTGAAACAGATCTGCAGTAATTACAGGGCATTGTCACCTTGTATCAGATATTACGGTCACTGTGGTTGGAGACAGAATAATGTTTGTGTTTCAAA